ATTTCGTCGAATAACCGTTCCTTAAGAATAGTCAGGCTGGTTTTTAGACTCCTTCAATCCTTTTTCAGGTCTGCCACCAGATCGCTGGTTGACAAGTTACACTTGTTATTGTATTCGTCCTGCTCCTGTTTTGCCTTCCTCGCAATGATGAACCAGGTATATATCGGTGTGCTACCTCTTTTTGGGCACTTGGTCAGAGGAACCTCGTTGGTCGTTGGGTCTCCATGTTCAATGCCTCATCACCGTTCGCAACTCACCGAGGTGCCCAGATCGTATCTGTCCTATTTTATGCCCTCTTCGCCACTTTGGTTGAAGAGACGTTTGGCAACAGCTTACTACCCAGCGGCCAGTGACATGGTCAATCGTTTTCACCGCCAAATAAAGGCTGCTGTGCTTGGCATAGAGGACCTAGGAAGTGGTATTGCCATCTGTCTCCGGCGCTTCTTTACAATCTCAAGGCACTAAATTCAGACGTGGACTGCTGCACAGCCAAATTGGTTGCTGGTATTGACTGCTGACTGCCAGGTGAGATGGTCATCCCAATTTCTCGCGATGCTTTTAAGAGCCCTGAGAACTTCGTACATCGTCTAAAACAACTTATGAGTACACCATCTAAGGTTACGCCTCCAACTCCACCGACCGAGTCTTATGTCGAAAAAGGCTTCGGTCAACTGTGCTCACACATCCATTCGGTGTGTCCATGTATGCAAGTGCCTGGATCCACCATACAAAGGACAGCTCTGCGTACTCTCACACGACAAAAGGATCAACCAGATCCTTTGCGGTGACAAGAAGGAGGTGGTTGACATTGATCAGGTCAGGGGTGTTGCTCCAGAGGAACCGCTGGACCTTCTCCGAGGATAAATTGTGCTGAATTCCCTGTTTCTTCACTTCCACTATCCCTCATATTCTTAACCTAACTCCGTCTCTCCTAACCATAGTTCTTCCTGAATCATTAGTATGCGCACTACTCGTAGCGGTCGCTGAGTGCATTTTGCCGACTGCCTTATGACGTTTGTGCTTTTACCTGAAATTTTTCTCTTACGCAAACCCGCTTTCTAGGCTGTGGAAACAAATCGTAGTGGTCGCTGAGCGCACATTCCCAACCGTGGATGTGTCCGCTAAACAGGATTAGGAAGAAAAGCGTAAACTGTGCAGTGATTTGATGTCGTACCAACTGATTCGCTTATGCAGCCGCTGAAGGTGACGGATTAAAATGAAGCTGCGGTGTTCATTTTATCGCATTATCAAAATGAATAGCGAGCCTTTAGTTCGATGTGTATGGCCAGCTGCAGATGACGCGGACTATTTTTGCAGAGAATACGTTTTCGGTGCAAGCTAAAGCGCGGGTTATAGGAAGCAGTCAGAAAGAACGAGACAGCGACTGGAATAAGAATCTGCTATATAATGTTATTGTACATTGGATGTTGTTCTAAAAAAAATAGACAACATTTAAAACACATCGAAAAACACGATCGCCGGGACAAGAGCTTTATTAGCCTGACGTTTCGGATTCCTGCTCAAATCCATCATCAGAGACATAAGCAGATATCTGCTTATGTCTCTGATGATGAATTCGAGCAGGAATCCGAAACGTCAGGCTAATAAAGCTCTTGTCCCGGCGATCGTGTCTTCTTCTTCAAGACTGCTTCCTGGGACTCGTCTTTTCGCTTCTATTGACATCGAAAAACGACCAACATGATGATACGAGTTTAGTTGGGCTTTCTACAACAGGAATGTGTCAAATCAGCGCGATCGCTCGTGAAATATGACAGCTCTTGAAAAGAGCAGACTCGGTACAGGGACCTTTGGTCAAGAGAATAGTAAGACGTCGTTTGATCCTCGCCTTCTCGTTGGATAAGATCAGTGAATTATACACGTGGTGCAGAGCTGAACAGTTTTTTGCCGCAGACCGAAAAATTCTCATGCTGTGTGATAGACTGCACAACCTGCAAGTTTCTTCAGTATGACACCAAACAGAGAGTCTAAAGAACACGAACTCGATAACACCGGAGGATATTTTAGTTGATTTGGCATCCAGAATGTGAAGAAAGTGTCGTAAGTGCAGAAAGCGAATGATGAAACTACAAAAGATGGGTAATTCTGCAGAACCTCCAAATCGTCGAAAGCAAGTATCCTGACTCCGACGAGATTTTAGAAAAATTACTTTTTGAGGGTGCATAAGAGTTGGCAGATGCATCAACTGTTTTGCGCCAGAACGACCGGGTTTATCCTCTGAAATTTTAAAACTGGCGATATTAGTATGCGCCTTTACAAAATGCACCTCAGACCTGACCTGGAATACTGTTCGTGTTTATCTAGCCTCATGCGTGCTCCTGAGTGGAAGAACACAGAATCCGTCCAACATTTTTTTACTAAGAGAGTTTTAAGCTGGAACTGCCAATACTTGACCTAACAGGAACATTGACACAGGCCTTGACCTCTTGTGGTTTCGTTGACTGCAGAAGGAATTATTTTTACTGTTAAGGCTCTTAAACAATTGTACGTTTAACCCGCTTACGACTTTGAAACATATTAACCACCCCCAACGTATTAGCCACCGTGAGGTCTTTTTATTTCCTCCTCTGGCACGTTCCGTTAAATATCTTCGTTTCTTTTCTGTAAACGCAATTGCAGTTTGGAACGAATTGCCCAGAAATGCAAACATCCTGCTAAATCCGTCTTTGTTTAAGCGAATAATTGCTCGTTTTTGCATTCACAATATCTCCCACATCTATTGGGTGCTGAATCCACCGATCTAACATGCCATAGTGATGGACTTCGGGGTTCCTGATCCTCTTGGCCGGTGTCACTACGGGTAATTTCTCCAGTCGACAGCGAGCAACGGTTCTTCGACACCTCTCTTTGATCCAGTATCAATTTCATGAGAAAGAATTGAGACTGGAAATACCCGAAGCAGTGTTGCTCATCCCTTTTTAGACTACCGACAGTTCACGGGCAGCAGTATTTCCACTGAACCATCTGGACTACAAAAGCATCATCCTCTGCATTTATTCATAGGGAGTTTCTTACTGTTAGCCCCATCCGTGCATGCAAACTGGCATTAAATGCAATTGTGATTATAAGTTTGTTATTCTTTCTACGGATTGGAAAACGGCTGATATTATGCTCGTTAGGAAAGGCGAAGTCGAGCACTGGCGGCCAACTACAGACCCGTCAGCCTGGCCTCAAGCAGCTGCAGAATCACGGAGGAAACCGGCGTGCAGGGACTAGCGATTTATTCGAAGACCCACGGCCTTCTGTCCAATTAATAATTCAACTCTGTTAGGAGAAGAACTTGCGCAGTGAATATGCTTCACGTGGTGAAGCGCTAGCCAACAAAACACGATGAAAAAAAACATTGCGTTTGCTGTCTGCGTTTATTTTAGAAAGACCTTTGATAGCATCTCGCATTGTTATCATTTGAACTGTTTTATTCGGAATAATTTATCTTTACACCGCATTTAATTATGCGTTGTAGATAGGGTTTTCGAAAGCACATGCCTACTTGCTTCAATAAAACGAAATGAACCGCCACGTGTACAAGTCGATCTTAGTAAGTATCAGCGGCACAATTCCTAAATGGGTTGAAAATTTCCTCGGTGGTCGTCCCCAAAATTTCTGTGTACAACAACAGTAATCAGGGCGTATAATCTTGCTGAGTAGAGCTTTACAAGGTTCAGTGCTGGAACCAACACTCCTTCTCTTGTTCGAAAATTATTGTGTACAAGAGCTGGACTGTGCGTGTTCCATTTTTTCGGGTGACATCAAAATATGGAAGGCTGTTCAGAGTACTTCTGACGGGGCAGACTTGTTAAGAGTATTTCGGTCGACTGGAAAATTTATCGAACATATGACTCGTATCGACTAACTGAAACAAATGTACAATACTGCGCCTGGGAAATCAAAACCAGGTCCCTGACACGCGCAAATTCCACTTTAATAGAATACCATTCCAAGAAAAAGAATCATAGAAGGACCTTAGAGTTAAAATGACAAATACTTTAAGGCTTTAAACAGACTATTGTGAGACAGTTAAAGACTCGACTTTAGTTATTTTCACCAACAAGCGGGTATTTACAGTTTCCCATAATGACTACTTCTCCAAAGTTTTCGAAATGCTTACAAAACTGTATCTTGAATACATTATCTGGACCTGGAGACCCTGGATAAAACTCGCGTGCAATCTGTTCAAAATAGTACAGAGACGGGCTGTGCAATTAGTTAAAGGTTAAGAAACACTGTCACATGCAATCCACCTGACTAGCCCAAATCAGTATTCTCTCAGTCATAGGCAAACGCGAGGGAACTCAAAATGGCTAATGGAATTCTCGCCGTCTAAATGCCACTATATTTGTTTTGGACCTGAGAGGATACCCCAACCAGTGGTCTTTCAAGGCACACCTATGACTGAATGTACCACCATCAAGGATTTAGGTTTAAGCTACACTAGTAATCTTGATCTCTCGCCACACGCTGACAGAATTACAGCCAAAGCTGCCCAGATTTGTGGCTTTATTTCTTACAATATCTATCTTCCTGAAATTGAATTAAGGCTCTATCGTATGTTTTTACATCCCATTCTCGAGTATTGTTGCCCATTCTTTGGTTTGATGAATGAAGCTAGTCGTTTGAAAATTGAAAATGTCCAAACACGTTTTTCTAAAAAACTTTTAGATAGGGAACATCCCAATATCTCCTACTCAGATAGATGCAGCAACTTATGAACAACTGCGCTTTCTACATAAGTGCGTTCGCGACGGACTGACACCGAAGAGCCTTCGTTTAAAGCGCCAGTGAATACGGAATTGGGCCGATGCGTCGTACAACGCTTCCGGAAGCAAATGATAAGAGTGCTGATCAACGACTGCCACTTACGCTTGCGCAAGTACCGAACGGTCATAGAAGAAAGAAGGGCGGAGTGCACGGCATTGCTCGGCGAACCAGTTACTGAGTGTCTGAACCGAACAATATCAACCGTGGCAAAAGCGAGACAGGAAATGAAACGCATGAATCTAGACCAAAAAGCCGTCAAATTGAAACCGGAAATCAATACCAACGAAAATGTGATATACAACTTATCGTCGAAGCAGTTAAACGAAACGGAACTCAGAGTGTTGAGCCACGAAGCCAATTTTAACACTGCTGATGCCACCCCAGCCGATTTCATTGCCGCACTTGAGGCCATGTTAGTACGAACTAACGCAAACGAAGAGGCTAAAAACACGGTGCGGCAAAAGGTTACCTCTCTCCTGATGACGAACAGGCACGCTAGCAATATGTCACCCGCAGAAATAGAAGCAATAAAGAGATTAAAAATGGACAAAGATATTATAGTGCTACCGGCCGACAAAGGAAGAGCAACAGTTGTGATGAACCGCGTTGATTACAATGAGGAGGCACGAGCTCTCCTGGACGACCAACAATCCTACAGGTCCGCACCCGCCTCGCAGGCCAAATCGATGATTGGCCAGCTGACTGGACTCTTATGCCGACTCTGGCGCAACAATTTAATGTCGTTGGACGAATGGCGCCAGACAAAACCAACCGGCACGGCGTTGGTCAGGTTCTACGGACTACCGAAAATCCACAAACCCAACGTTCCTCTGCGGCCAATCGTTGCCCTGAAAGGCAGCCCCACATACAATTTAGCCAAATGGATGACCAGAAAGCTCAATTTTCTCCGAGAGGGCTCTGTGACGTCCGTCAATTCGGCCTCCCAATTCCTTGCCGACATTCGGGGAAAAACTCTTCAACCCGACCAAATCATGGTATTCTTCGAAGTTGTCTCACTTTTCACGTCCATCCCACCAGACTTGGCGCGCGACGTGCTACGCAAACGCCTCGAAGAAAAGTACGACGAAACAACAGGGTCGCTAAAGATCCAGCACCTAATGCAGCTCTTTGCATTCTGCCAACGAACCTTTTTCACCTTCGATGGCAGAACATATGAACAAATCAAAGGAACACCCATGGGTTCCCCAAAGTCCAGCCTAGTTGCGGAATTGGTCCTACAAGAGCTGGAAAAGGTTGCTTTCAGCCATTACAAACCTGCGTTTTGTCGCCGATACGTGGACGATACATTCGTCATTATTGAAAAGGACAAGCTATCGGGTTTTCAAGACTAACTTAACAGCATATTCCCCGACATTCAGTTTACAAGAGAAGACGACGAGGACGAGAAACCACCCTTCCTGGACGTGCTCGTCACGCGCACACCTGACGGTGAACTCAGCACTACAGTGTACAGAAAGGCGACCAATACAACCCAGGTCCTCAACTATCATAGCAACCACCCATTGGTGCACAAACGAGGCTGTGTGAGGGCGCTTTTCGACCGGGTAAAAACGCACTGTAGCGAGCCCGAAGGAAGGATGCAAGAACTACGGCATCTCCGGGACCAATAAACAAAGAACGGCTACCCAAATAGTTTTATCAGTCGCTGCATACGTGCGCACCCACGCCGGACAAACGGAAGAGAGACACCAATAATTTGGCACTCCCTACCGTACATAAAGAATGTGTCCGAGGCTACAGAACGCATCGCGTCAGAACTAGGCGGGTGCATCGCTCATCATCCGGCGGCCACCATGAGTAGCAAGATCATGAAAATGAAGGATCGGCTGGACGCAGGTGAACAGTCGGGCGTAATCAATCGAATCCCGTGCCAAAACTGTCCTTGCGACTACACAGGCCAGGCAGGACGACGACTGAGCTCACGAATACTTGAGCACAAACGGGCCGTTCTGAGAGGCGACCCACTGTCTCAAGTAGCCACTCACACGCTGGAGGAAGGGCATGAGTTCGACTTTGCCAATACGCGGATATTGGCGCGAACCGGTAACAAGACAGGGCGAGAGCTGTTAGAGGCGTGGGTGTCGGACACCAACTCTATCAACAGACACATCGATTTGCCTGCGTGTTATCACGCGCTCCGCCCACGCAGCCAGGTGGCGCAGCTCACACAGTCGAAAAGTACAAACGGCGTCACCACGCCGGGGGACCGTCGTGAACCAGGCGGCACAAACGGACGTGCCACGGACGTGCTCCCCCTCCCGCCCCCCCCGCAAGGACGAACGATATAAATATTCACAATTTGCTGCACTCGAGTAGTCTCTGATGCTGAACTCTAGTTCGAGTTCGAAAGCTCAGGCAAATAAACATACTGTCCCAGTGATCGTGCCTTCGCCTTCTTTTAAACAAGAACCTGGGATGCACATATTCTCTTCCATTCGTAACCTAAAATTTTTATGGGTTCGAAGACTAGAAGCAGGCTTCTGTATCCTCTTTCGCATTAATCACGGTTCAAATTTTCCTCGGATTTCAGCACTCACCTCTAGTAGTCGCCCATGCAATCTACGCAACTCGTCCTTGATTATACCTCCTCCAGCGTCCTCCACCTCTAAGCGTTCCCTTTATTTCGCTTCCAGATATACTTTCCTCTGGAATACTCTTCCAATAAATATAAGATCTTCAGAAAATCTACACACCTTTAAGAGAAGGCTACGCCTTTATCTGAATACTGACTCGATTAAACTTTTAGTTTCCTCATCCTTCCCAGACAACTTTTTCTGTGACACTGAGAAAGGGCCACCGAGAATTTAGTATGCCATCATTAAATTTCCGTATCTGTTCACATTTCTTTCCCTTGTGAGTAGTCTCGCTTCCTAAGATCCCTCACCAGAAATGTTAATTTTTCCAATTTTTCAGTTCATGCATCGTGCTCTCACCGAATGCGCTCCATCGACGCTCTTGGCGAAGCCTTCTGTATTCGCCATATACTAGTAGTCTGGTCGCATCTCCCTTGCCCCATCCTCGGATGGACTCGGTTGAATGTAACCGACCGCATCTGGGTTCCTATCACTTCGAGACTGGTTTTCAATTTCGCCACTTATTTGCCTTATTCAAGGCCACGTACAGGTCAGTCCTGACCGACCCGCCTGCTTACCCCTTCATTAAATCCGTTATACACTGCCATATACAACTGACATTTATTTCGGCCCTGTTGATTTCCGACTGTAATCCATTCTATGCCGCCACATGCAGGCAAGTCCTGCCCGCATTTTTCTGTTTCTATTTTTTCGAGGGTTTTTTTCTCCTGTAAAATTAATCCAATCATTTTTAAATTTTTTATGGAGTTTTTTTTCACCCCTCGCTTATCCTTTTTCTTAACGGACTTCTAATCTCACAAACTATGTCTTGCACTTTGTACAGATTTTGCCTACCTCGTCTAAAATTCGCATTTAAATTTATTTTTACTTGCTTTGATGGGACCCCGACGGGTCTTTAATAAAAATAATTAAACCTTCCGCTTCGTACGCGGTTTGTACTGCGTCCCCCCCACCATGTTCAGAGCTCTTCCAACTCGCCACTAGGGGCACTCCGAAGACGTCCTTTCAAACTACGTGTGGTCAAAAGAAGTTTAGATGCGAGAAACTATTTCTTCTCAGTTCGTGAATTGGGACCGTGAAGTGACCTATCGGAGGCGTATGTTGGGTCTCAGTCTACGGAGAAGTTCAAACACCGTCCTGACAGGCATATGATGTTGCAAAAAGCGGACCACGCGACTACGCAACCTTCGAAAACATTCAAATATTTGGGAAGCTAAGCCTTTTACCACTTGCCAATGTGACTTATCTATATTGTTACTAGTTCTTCTGATTTGTATTTGACCGAGAGAAGGTTCAAACGCGTAAGTCCATTTCCTTCAAGCGAATTGAACTGAACTAATTGCTTTCATATACTTAACTGCCCAAGTAACGTGCCCACGCTACCTATACTGCAAAAATTACCGACATCATTTATCGGTTGTGTCAAAAATAGAAGATAAGCAGTCGTGTGACCGTGCAATGACCCCATGTATCCCAGTGGGACCTCTGTCTGTGGCAGAACCATACGCTAATATGGGGGTCAGGAGACCAGGGGCTTGCTTCTGGTCATTTTGTACTTACGCAGCAGGTTATACTGCCATTCAATCAAAACTGTTCGCTTTCCTGATTTATACTTACCTAGTGAGTGGGTAATCTTGCCAACAGACATCATGTCCATGTCAGGCGTCCCTCTTCAAGGTCTTTTGTCCCAAGTCACTCACTTTCGCAGCGGACTGTTCTAGGCGTGCTGACCTAACCCCCTGCGGACACTGCATCAGCCATACTGCCTAGCCACCACAAACTGGTGACCAGGACGAGATACGAACACGCGACTTCCATAAGTTGCTGAGCCTAGCTGTCACGAAATTCCCACTCGAGTTCTTCCTGATGATTTTCCATTGTCACTTGCTGTGTCCATGAACAGGAGAACGCAGTAGCCGACACCCTGTTGCAGTTCGAGATGGATATTATCAACAAAGCTCGACAACGGAAGCACACGTCAGGCCTCACTCAAATGTGTTGCCATCTGAGTACATCTCTCTTTTGTCCGAGGCATTCCTTCGGTCATTACCAACGAAGACATTGTCCGTCAGTTATTTTCACAGACTAAACTTGCTACTGTATATACAACAACGAGATTTCAGACTTTCGGCGCTGTATTCTCTCCCAACATTCGTGTCTCTAGGACAGTGAGCCTATTTTACTGACGCATTCGTCCGGCCCATTCCTCAATGAGGTGCACTGTGTCTGAAATATCTCCAAAAATTATGTCAACATGCCAACTCACCGACGCGCGTTGACAGGGCTACGCAAGCACACACGCGGCTGATATTACAACGGCAACTCTGTACAGGTCGCAAAATCACCCTCGTTTGCGGTCCCAGCTACTCCTGTCATCATCAGCATGCGCTGTCAAGTCCGCATATGCATCGGATCATTTTTTATTTCATTTGTCACCTCATGATCGACGTCATCATCTCGTTCTGTGAACGGACGGGAGTTGTAACCGACAACCATCGTGGCTATGTCTACCGTCCTACCTCATGGTCCCCTTACATCATGGTCATTCACCTTCGCAGCAGAAGATGGAGATCTCGCAAGCGTTCAACTTTGCCTCAATCAATTTACCCACTCTTGATTATAAAACTCTGGCTATCAGAGCAACTTTCTAGGACAGTGAAAAAGACACAAGGGTAGCGGTTACTTATGACTTAGAGGGGTTTTTCGACAGTGCTTCACTCTGTCGGCCACAATCCTAGGTACGGGAAACTGGGGCATGGGACTTTGATCCGTTGAATTCAGGCTCAACATCTTTGACTGAAAAAAAGATTGTATGGTAGTAGAAATGGTTCGAAGGACGACAGGAATAGTGAAATGCCCCGAATCCGTATCATGCAAATGCTGACCTATTGAGCTTTGGTTACTCCCTTTGAATACAGATTACCTCTGTGGGATTTCATCTAGGCCTACCGGACTGGAAGGAAATCAGGCTGGAATTGACTGAAATTTCGAAGGGTCTTATCACAGTTGATGTGCGCAGGCACTCTTCGTGACGCATCGTCGGTCCCTACAACAAACTTATTGAAGACGCAATCATGGCAGAAAAAGCAGAAGAGTTTGAACAAAAACTGAGATATTGATCGCATTGAAAAATACCGTCCAAATAGAAGGACGGCGAACTCAAGATTAATGACCGCCTCGTCTTTACCTACTGATAATGCGGACGCGCACTGTTAACAGTCGTCTTCTCACACTCCCCCCAAATAATTTCGGATCCAGAAACCACCTTACTTAAAAGACATAGGTAGCAACTTTTTTCTTATATATTTAGTCAGTTACCCTGTTTGTAATAGAGCTTTCAAAACTACAGCATGATTCTGTCAAATGTGCTAGTCAGAGTAACTACTACTCCCACACATGTTCTGCTATTTTTGATAATACTTTCTGAAAGCGGTTTATGTAGCGCACTATTTTGTCAAGTCCCGTGACATAATTGTTATCTCATAGACATTTGCACACCATTCGCTCTGACTTATTATCTCTTATATATCCGTCCGCGTCTGTAATGTAATCGACGACTAAATGCAATTGGACTTTGCCAATGCATGAGATATTCTCCGACTTTGCCTTTAACGCTTTTGGCATTGGCCTGGACCAACGACGGTTTAGACACAAACTAAGATAGCTATGTTCAATGCCGGTCATTAAAACTGACAGTAAATTCTCTATGGTAAAGGTATTATACCGTACTCCCGACC